TCAAACTCTCTTAGAACACAATATATCTTTAATCTGTATTATTGAAGTTTTCTTTAGTGGATTCAAATAATGTCCGTACTTTGGACTCGTCAATGATCTCCACATTCTTATAATTGAAAAACAAAATGCTAGTGGTTGTGACCTTTTACCAGACTCACCTAATGACTATGATTTGATACACTCCCAACATGCACCACCACAGCAAACAATGAGTACTCTACCTCCGACACAGGTGTATTGTATTATGTGTTGCACACTTTGGTTCCAGTAGGAATATTACACATTACGACTGTTTTTTTGTAACGCCCAACAGATCGATGTACTTGAACTGCTTCAGGTGGAGTGATAACTTGCAAAAAGATGACTTGATTTTCATCCTCTCCTCAGCCTCCTGCAAACCTGAAGAATTTTGTACACCCAGGTAATAACTAGTTCCTTGTGGTTCCCAATTGCCTGTCCGTTCGTTGACCGTTGCTCACCACCTGATAATGATTCTGAAATATTGTTCGTCATTTCTTCCACCAATCGCTGAAGATGTTAACCCAGCAAGCAGATCATCTGCTAGAAGGATTTTTCTTCCAATCTATATCCTGACCTTGTCCTAGTTTTTGAAGAATACAACTCTCGGTAGAAAAGTAATATGTTCACGACCAAGATCCTCTTTCCATGATATGACGCGGTGAGGTTTTGCAATTATTTGTCTGATTGTCAGCCTCAGCTTTTTTCTCTAGAGACACCACCATCCTAAATCAATCTATTCACTGCTATATGTGATCCAAAATTCCACACAGCCTTGGGTGCTAAAAAGCATCATCAATCAGGGACAACCCACACAACTGCTTTGTAATCCTTTAACACTCCATATTTTGCTAGCGGTTTGTGATCGGGAAAACCTTTCACATAAATAACAACACATCAATGACTAATTTTAAATTCGTGTGATGTACACTAAAAACTGTGCTGCGGGATATTCCTCCCATAAATTTCCTTGCACCTGCCTGCTTGCAATATCTGCTTCAACAAAGAAACTATCATATTTTATCTGACATCCACGTGAGTTACCATCGTTGTTCTCCAAAGAGAGTGATTACGTTTAAGGAGTAAGCTAGATGTAATCCGAGCACTCCTATGTCTATTACCAAAGCAGGTTGTTCAATCATCCAAGGCTCCAGCACCACTGAATCGGCAGTAGCATGTATTATAAACTAGGTGAGAAGAGGCAGAAGCTCCATAACTCCAAGAAGCTCACACATTCTTTAAGCTGCAAAACACTCCTCAAGCCTCTGTTACTTTGCACTTCCATCCCTAAACTGGGTCTATGCCTCGTCCTCACCGAATGGATCTCTTCTTGATGTGCATCCTACATCTTCTACAAATCACATTTAGCTGCTTCAACTTCGTTCCTTGGGTCTTCAGAGGAAACTTGTTTGTTCGACTTGATTTTAAGGCCTAAATCAGTAATAAATATTGTACTTGATCTGCATTCCAACAATTGCTTAAACTTCAAAAAGAATTGTTTCAAAGTCTTGTTGAATAACTCCTACTCAGGTACTACTCACGAAGTTGCAAGTAAGCTCCCTGTTATGAAATAGTTGAATTACACATAATCCCAAATTTTGCTTCACATATGTGTAGATCTTTTTTAAAATTTCAAATAGTGGTGAACATATGTTTTTAATTTTACTTTTTTTTTCTTTTCTTTTCCTGTATTAATGACAATTAAAAAAACTTATTTTTTCAATTTCTTATAAAATATAAAATTATGCATATTTGCACCACCATATCTAAATTTCCAACTGATATACATATTTTTATATACATACTATTTATTTATTTATTTATGATATATATATATACCTTCATGTACACTCTTGTAAGATTTTCTCCTATTTGCTTTTTAATCACTAATTTTGAACAAATTGTATGTTTCGTAATTTTTTTAATTCTTTTGATATGCTTCCTTTTACCTATATATATATATATATATATATATTTAAAAAAATTACTTATTTTTTATAATAATTTAACTAATAATATGAAATTTAAATTATTAATTAATTTTTTATTCCTAAATATATTTATTAAAGAAATCATTGTCTTCAAGAAAAGATTTCAAATATTATAGAACTACTTGACCTGTGGGCACTAAGATTATTTATACTGAAACAAGTTCTTTAGTACCTAAGAATTGTTAATCAATCACTAATCTAACCACTAATAATAATCTCAAATGTCTCTAATAAAACTTATGCTATTCTATTTAAGAAAATTATATTCCTTATTTTAAAATTGAGAGTTAAATAAATTTTAAAGATTATTGCTAAGATATCCATGATTACCTTTGTAAAAAATATTATAAAAAAATAAATAATTCTTTTTGCAAATTAAAAAAAAAAAAAAAAAAAAAAAATGTTGTAAAGTAATTTTATATCATTTTTTTAGATTTAAACTTATAAGAGACAAACAAAATGTAATAATTTTCTGTCATTTAATAAATACATGTAAAGGGAATTTATCATTTAATTTTTTAAAAACAAAACAGATGTTTTGACGAAATAACCAAATCAAAATTTCTCCTATCCAAAATAAATCTACATATGTTTTAACTTATATTTCTACTAACAATAGTTTACAAATTTATTGAAAAATTTCGTATTTTTTTCAAGATAATTGCAACGATATATATATATATATATATATATATATATAATATTTTATATTTTTATCAAATAGTAATAAAATAACAAACTTGTTTTTATATGGGTTGTTATTTTTTCTATCATCTGTTGGATACATTTTTATTTTTAAAAAAATCTATGAAAACTAACTAAAAATGTGGAAATAAAGTTCTTGTTTGTATTATATTATGCATAATTTCTGTAAATAATACATCAATTTTTTTCCATTGGTATAATAAATAAATATGTGTATAGTAATAAATTTATGTAATAAGATTTACATATGTGTTTATTTATTATCTTATTACATAAATTTATATAATAAGATAATAAATAAACACATTCAAATCTTAAATTATATTTTTAATATTTCTTTTACCTACAAATCTTTCATTTTATTTTAAATTTGTATTTTTTATTATTAGCATCGATATGTTATTTGAAATATCAAAAATATTGTTATGATTTTGTTTTAAGAATTCTATTTTTTTAAAAATATTATTTAAAAATTAAGGAATAATACTATATTTATTCTATATGCCTTATAAATCTCAACTAACTTCCACATCTCAAAGACTATTTCATATTTGCATTTGTATATGCTATAAATAGTTATACATAGTTATTTTTAAAAATCTAACTTTTGTGTCATCTACATCTTATTTTGTTTTAAAACTACAATTTTTCTTTAATTTATCACCTACATACTTTAAAAATATATCTAAAATCTTATAATAAATTATATAAATAATTTTTAATGTATTAGAACTTTTTTTTATTAATATTAATGATACATCTATTTTCAATCAATAAATATATATATATATATATATATATGTGTGTGTGTGTGTGTGTGTGTGTATTTTTATATTATTATTTAAAATTATTTTTAAAATATAGATTTAAATATATATAATATATATAATTTAAAATATAATTAATTTAGGATTACTAATTTTAAACTAAATAATTTGAATTTATAATTTTAATATAAGAATATTCTATTTAAAAATACAAAAAATATATTTGAAATTCATAAATTATAATTTTTTAAGTTTTTAAAATATTCTACTAATTAATAATAATATGTCTACTTATGCTTTAGAAATTGTTTTTTTTTTTTTGAAGAATAAAATATACAAGGGCCTCAACTATCTTGAAGGTTGTTTGTTAAAGTTATATTTGTTGATGTTGAGTGCATATGATTTTGATTATGTCTTTGATGACCATATTTGATATTAATTATTGTGGTTTAAAGTTTCATGTATATAAAATAGTAAGTAATCTTGTTTATAAGCAAAGAATTACTTTCAATTATATATCACCTAATGAAATCAAAACTAAAATAAAAGAAATAGATTCTTTGAAGCTTTCAAAAAAATCATTACAAAATTAAACTAAAAGGTTAAGAATTGAAAATTAAATCGTGGAACAAAGTATCAATATTTTATTTAAATCTTGTTTAACATCTATTTTCTTTTGATATAGTCTATATTTGTACTTATAAAGATATAAGGAGTTGATGGCTTAAAAATGAGTTAATTATTCAATTATGTTTTTCTAAATATTTAAAATACTAATGTTAAAACTTTTATCAGCACAAACCATTTGATATGTTTTGTAAAATTCATATTATGAATTGTACAACGTAAAATATAAAAAAATAAAGCTATAAGGTATACCACAAGTTTTCCTCTTAATCAGTTGAATTTTCTTATTATGGTTTTCCTCGTGCTTATATATAGTAAATAGTGTCCTTGCAAGTTTAGTCTATCTTCAAATAAATATGAAATAAAACTTTAGCCACATTGCTAGCTTAAAATAGATTGGGCTCAACAGTAAAGTTTGCAAAAACCTTGGTTGAATTAAAAAAAAAAAAAAAAAAAAAAAAAAAAAAAAACACACACACACACACAAATACACACACAATGGTCTCAAAATGCCTTAAGAAATAGAAAAGATTATATGAATCTCACTGTAAAGTACCGTGTTCACACAAGTTTGAGAGAGTCTCCGCTGACTGTACCCCTCCTCACCATTATCATCCACGTGTCACCTCCTAATACGAGAAATCGAGGTCAATTCTGGATTGGCGAAACCCCTTCATTGCCGCCAGGTCAGCACAAGTGACGACGATGTCGTTCAAAAACATCATCCAGGAAGTGGATTATTTCGGTTACTCTGACCCAGGGATGAGAATCCAGGAACCGAGGCAGACGAAGGAATGGCGCCGGAATGGCTGCAATGGATTCAAACCACGTGCCGCAGGGGATTTTGCTCATGGAAAGTCCTTTGTCGTGATCGGTGAAGGCGGAGGAGACCCCGTGGACTTGCCAGATTGCTCAAAGTTGCGCGTCGCGACGGGACTCGCATGACGTTGAATAGTATTCAGATTCAATCGGTTGCGTCGCGAGCTACACAACCGTGTCAAACTTCGCAGCAATTTGAGAAGTTAACGTCGCGGATTCGCGAGTGTTGGCGAGTTGGAGCGATGAAGAAGCCCGGGAGCGGTGGTATGATTTTGGAATCCCGGAACGAAATTGGAGGCTCGGAGGTTTAGCGGGGATTGACGGAAGAGCTGGCAGGGGGCGAGAAGGGAGGTGATCGGCGATGGCGCTCTCGGGGATGAGAGGACTCTCTGTGTTTATCAGCGACGTGCGGAATTGTCAGAATAAGGAACAGGAGCGGGTGCGTGTTGACAAGGAGCTTGCTAACATTCGGACGCGCTTCAAGAACGAGCGGGTACCTTGCAATAGTTAACTGCGGTAGATAGTAATTTTGTGGAGATTGTTTGTCATTGTAGTGTCGCGTAGGGTTTATTGTCTCTGGATTTTGTTTGAATTGAGGAGAGTATTGTTGGTGATGGAATGAGAGCCCTAGGTAGAGTTGGAATCGTTACGTGTTAGTGAGAAGGCTTGATTGGTGACTATGCAAGCATCGCCAATTACAGCGGGGTTTTGAGCATTCAAGAATGTAGGTCGTGTGTTCTTCTGTTGAGTTTTAGCTACTCAAAGCTTGTATTGGTTAGGATCGTTTGGAAAATGTCTAGCCGGGAAAAAAATTGTCTCTCTTAGTTTATGGACCACTTTCAATCGTCGTATATGTGTTGATTGTTGAAAAGCATGAAAATGAAGAATCCGAGATTCAAAGGATAAAGTGTCAGTTGTATTCCGTTCTATTCTTCTCCTACTTCAATTCTCACTTGCCTTTGTCCTTCAATCCTTCTGACGTTTTTATCATTTCATGATCTGTTTGATCTTGCGACGTCATAGAATTATCAAATGCAGGCTCTTTTCACGTATATTTGTTTTTACAGAAGGATTAGGACGTCTCAATCAGTTTCTGTTATAGAAGTCAAACGTTAATGCAATGCAGATTTCATGGCTCAGTTCCTCAGCGAATCAGACCGATATAGATAGATGCGGTGAACGTTCTACTATCTCCTCTATCATGGTTTTGGTTTCCACTTTTCTGCAGATGCTGGGTTTTCGAACTCAGACCCAATTCAAAGTTGTCGAAGAGGATATCCTTAAGGCATCCAGTCTCAGGGTTTCGATCGTTGAAGTAGGATTCTACCCGGAGATTTGATTTTGTGGCAATCCGTGCTTCCAGGGCTTGTCTGTTTACGAGAAAAAGAAATATGTCTGGAAGATACTGTACATATACATGCTTGGGTACGATGTTGATTTCGGTCACATGGAAACAATGGCACTCATTTCAGCTCCAAAATATGCAGAAAAGCAGGTATATACGCTTTTTAAAACATTATGTGTAGTCGTCTTGTGTTCCACTGTTGTATTTGTCACTGGTTTGGCAGAATATACAGCTCTGCTTGACTATTACGGGACTTGTCATCGTTGATTATACCTGACATTGCTAGTTTATGAAGATACGTGAGGTTCATAGCTCGCTCCATGTTGTGAAATGGTTGGAATACCTTTTAATGAGGAAATCATGATACCCAGGTTGGCTACATTGTGACATCTTGTCTCCTCAATGAAAACCACAATTTTTTGCAATTGGTCATCAACACTGTTCGTAACGACATCGTTGGGCGAAATGAGACCTTCCGATGTCTCGCCTTAACAATGGTACATTTTCCATGCTTTTTTTCTGTTGACATACCTCTTCGCAGGATGTTAGTACTTATTTAACACGTAAAGATTTGAACCACGTTTTGGTCTTCGTTGTAGATTGTGTTCTTTACCTGCGAAGCAATAATAAAAGAATTACGTTATATAGGGAGGTGATATTTGTGCGATTTCGGTTCTGTTGTTCTTAACGTCGTCCACGTATCATATAGGAAAATACAAATTCCCTACTCTCTTTCTGGGATTAAACAATTCATTTATTTTCTTTCGTTGGGTTCCATATTTCCTTGTTCAATACATTTTGCCCTACTTGTCTTTGGCAGAACAGGTGTGCAATCTGTGATTGATGTTACTCTTTGTTGTGCAGTACCTTTTCAATATCATCATTTTGGAATTACTTGGCTAGGATTGTGTGGTCAGGTTTATTCTTTTAGTTCTGCGTGTTTCCATTTGAGAAAATAATTCTCGCTTCGGACTGGCTAAGAACTAAGTTGCTGCCTAAAGCAGTTGTGCTGAAAATTAAGCTAATAACTTCTGTACTCCTGATTGTTAAATTTTGGAAGTTTTACATGTCGTATTTATAAAGATTTACGAATTATTTTTAACTAATTATTGGAATATATTTTCTGAGGAAGAATCTCAAAGTCCGTCCATGCTGAAAATTTTACTAGTTTCTATGTGACTATCATTCTTGACAAGATTGTGACATTTGATAATCAGGTGGGTAATATTGGTGGTAGGGAGTTTTCAGAATCCCTGGCTCCAGATGTACAGAAGTTGCTGGTAAGAGTAAATAGTTCATGAAGTTTCTTTATTTATTTCTGTTGTATGGTGATGCTTTTTACTGAAACGGTGCAAATTTGCTTCACGTGCTGGATATGGTTGATGAATGGAATCCTTCAGCAGCAGCTGTCATGTCAGTTCTACGGTGTAGGTTTGTTAGCATTCAAGTGCATAGTTGTGTGCGTGATTTTTCCTATTAAGGATGGCGCTTGTTCCAAGCAAAGAACCAAAGCAAATCAGGTTAGTATAAAATTATGTGGAATTCCAGAAGAAAGCTATTAACCGAGAACGGATGTTGACAGGATTATAATTCGTACAAGGAAAAGGTAACAACAAACAGTGCTTACTTTGTGTTTGGAGGTGTTCTGTTGCAGATGTCGAGCTCATGTAGACCCATTGTGCGCAAAAAAGCAGCTCTGTGCATGCTTCGCCTCTATCGCAAGAATCCCGACGTAGTTAATACCGATGGCTGGTAAGTGGCAATCGTTTCAGTGATGAGTTTAACTTGAGTTACTGCGGCTTTGACGATGGATACAGCGCTGAACATTCAATTTTATTTTTGAACTCGGCCCACTTATTATCTGCTTCAATCTGCACCCTGGGCCCTATAGGCTGCCGTTTTCTTGTTCTTTGTCAACACTGTTGAATTGTCTGGTCTTTATGGGGAATATTTTAATTTTTCTAGCTCGTTGACAGGCCGGAATGCATGGCGCATTTGCTGAACGAACGAGACCTTGGGGTTTTGATAGCTGTCATGAGCTTGTTAGTGGCGTTAGTGGCCAACACTCCCGAGGCGTACTGGAATTGTGTACCGAAGTGTGTGCAAATTCTGGAACGATTGACTAGGGGTCAAGATGTTCCGCAAGATTATACATATTATGGCATCCCCTCTCCCTGGCTTCAGGTGTGCTTCCAAATTTGTTCTAATTAATCTTTTCTTCTAGACATCAGTATTTCACTCTATCATGATCCTTTATTGGTTTGGCATCTGTACCACGGTTCTTAGAATGTCAACACTACTTCCATATCTATAGGTTGATGTCCAGTCTTCTTATGCGTTGTTTTCGTCATGGTTACTGACCTTCGCCTTGGTTGTCTTGTATATTTTTTCAGTAAGGATTTTTGGTTCCAGGGAAGTCTGCGTGTAAGTGCTTAAAACGTTCATATTATTAGCGTGTATTGATGTTTGAGTCTTTTTTACTTTGGTTACTGAACGGAATAGGTTAAAACAATGCGAGTGTTGCAATATTTTCCTTCAATTGAAGATCCTAGCATCAGGAAGTCTCTGCTTAATGTAAGTTGATTACTCAGATTCCTTGAATACCTTACTTTGTCTCTAACTTGTGTATTTGTAGAAGTACGTTCTCATTCATGCGTACTTCTGCATATTGAATGTGATGTACTTAAATGTGTGATTTGAATTGCTCTCTGCGTCACGTTTTGGGTAGAGGTTTATGTTAGTTACAGTTTAAATGTGACTGCGCCTCTGTAATTCCTTAGGATCACAAATTTTTCTTGCTGTGCAGGTTCTACAAACAATCTTGTTGCGTACAGATGTTGTGAAAAACATTAATAAAAACAATGCATCTCATGCTGTTCTCTTTGAGGCACTTTCTTTGGTACGTCGATTTTTGCCTGTTTAATGTTGCATGTCTCCAGCGTGATTGCTGCTTTCAAATCTAGTTTCTGGAGTTTTCTCGATTTCTGTCCCACTCATTCTTTTAGCGGAACAACGTGAACTGAGAGGTTAGCAGGTTTTCATATGTTGTCGATTTTCTGTCAAGTGCTACGTCATGGACACCTTGTTATGCTGTTGAGTTTAATGCAGCAGCTGTCCTTCATATACGCACAACATTCTATTACGGATATTTCAACTGAACATATTCTTTACCAGGTGATGCACTTGGATGCCGAAAAGGATTTGATGTCTCAGTGCATAGTGTTACTGGGCAAATTTGTCTGTGTCCGGGAGCCAAATATTCGTTACTTGGGTCTGGTACGTAACAAATTTTGTGAGGACAAATTCAGTGTTGAATTTCTAACTGCTATTCCCGGAATTATTAATCTTGGACAATATGAAATATCATCTGGAGATGATTGCAAGTTATGAAGTGAGATATCCCTGATTTGGAAATATCAGCGGCTCATCGTTCGGTTCCCTTTATCGATATAGGAAAACATGACAAGAATGTTACTAGTAGCAGATGTGGTGGACACCATCAGGAAGTATCAAGCTCAAATTATTGCATCGTTGAAAGACCCAGATAATAGGTAAAGGAGATGTCTCTGCGTGAGTTAATCAGGCCATATTTTCTTGTTGCCGTAGCGGATTTAGAGTCTTCCTCTAAGGATAAGTAAGCTGGGGGACGAAATTTCATTACACTAAACACATTTGTAATTTTATGTGTTTCTATGTATTCATTTATTTCAATGTGCGGCGAAAAATGTCGCGCAGCACGTGTTGGGCGGATATAGTAATGGTTGTTGCTGTATACAGGGTCATTTCTATGCAGCGTCTGAAGCTGAACGATAGCACATAATCCTATAACTAGTTTCTTTATTCAAATTGAAGATTCTGACAGTAATATGAGTTGTGTAGCATTCGGAGGCGCTCTCTGGACTTGCTATACGCCATGTGTGATGTCAGCAATGCCAAAAATATTGTGGAAGAGCTTTTACAGGTCTCCACCCCCACTCGATGTCACTTGATGTCTATTCATGATGATACACATCTTCATGAAAAGCTTGGATTCTGCTGTTCTCTATCACGGAAAAGAGTGTTATTTTTTGATTGTTCAATCAGCTTCGTTTTTGTGACAGTATTTGACAACTGCTGATTTTGGGATTCGGGAAGAGCTCGCTTTGAAAGCTGCCATTCTGTCAGAGAAGTTTGCCCCAGATTTGTCTTGGTACTCCTCTGTCTATGTTAAAAAGCTCAAACTTAGCTGACTTTGTTCCACGCTTTTGGTATCTGCCTCCGGGGTATTCATTTGCCTATTTAGGTTATTTGAAATCCACTGTCAGGATCGAGTTTTTTATTTTTGGAAATGATATTATTATCACATTCTCATTTTGAATAATCATTTGCAGTCTTTTAGTGTAGAGTATTATGGTGCGCTCCCCATTGTGGTTGTCGTGGCAGGTATGTGGATGCTGTACTGCGGCTTATTGACAAAGCTGGTGATTTCGTTAGTGATGATATATGGTATCGAGTGGTCCAGGTTGTGACCAACAATGACGATCTGCAGGTATTTATGTATTGAACAACGCAACCCATTTAATTTGCATGTTATGGAGAGCAGCGTACTGTGCACTCCAGTTTATCTAAATTTATGAGAGGTATCTTGATTAGTCGTGGCTGAGGAATTCAACACGATTATGAAGATTTCTTAAGTGTCAATGTTCTTTGAAATTTTATGTAAAACACAGGCTTATGCTGCTGAGAAGGCACGTAATTACTTGGATAAGCCTGCTGTGCATGAAACTATGGTGAAGGTATTGCTTTCTGTTCCTCTAAAATTATCATTTAATATCAATTTAGAATATGGCATTCCATGGGCGGGTTTCTTCAGTATTTACCAATTTCTTCTGATGAAGCATTTGGAATTGAAGTTCTGGGTTTTTAATGCTGAAATCTTGACATGTGTGAGAAAAGAAAGAGATACATTTGGTCACTGCACTTTCTTTCACTTCGATTTTCTGGCTATTGCAGACAAATCTGCTATGGTTGTTTCAAATGACACAATGCCTGGTTATTCTACGAATATCATGCATTATCACGTACAGATTTGTAGAGTTTCTGGCTATAAGTTCTGGAAGTTCAAATTCATAAACAATTCTTTCATGCATATAGGTTTCAGGATATTTATTAGGAGAATATAGTCATCTTCTAGCTCGGCGACCTGGTTGCAGCTCTAAGGAGATTTTCCATATCATAAAGGAAAAAATTTCAGCAGTCACGTGAGCAATTTTAGTTTTCTTATTTCCTGCAAGTTTATTGAAAATAATTTCTCAAGTTGTTATCTGAATACCATGTCACATTAGTTGATGAATGTAATTATTTATCCACTCCCACCGCATCTGAACCTGTCGTATCTTCTTACTTGTTAATGTCCATATTGCAGAACTGTTACCAAGGCCATTCTTCTTTCAGCTTGTGTGAAGGTTTTGATGCACTGTCAACCTCCTAACCAGGAACTGTTTGAGCAGGCCACTGCAACATTTAGAAGGTAACTTAAAGCTTATTTCGAGATGCGTAGGTTCGTCATTAAGATTTCCACTCTTGGTCACTTTCGTCGAGACTTATTATTCCTTTCCTTATAAACAAATGAAAAGTTCGATAAATTCTTGTATCCCATCTCTTTCTTTCTTGCTTGCTTTTTTTTTTTTTTTTTTTTTTTTTTTTTTTTTTTTTTTCTTTCCCCTCTTCTAACTGCTATTTCTTCTCCTGCATTTTTCTTTTCTTCTCTTTCTTTCTTCCGTTCTTTCTTCTTGATTCGTTATTGTGCTGAAAACTTCAATCTCTATTTATTCCACTACAAGTTTAATTTGTGTATTAGAAGACAACATGTTATTGTTTCGGAGTGGTGGTACATCAAAGTGATTTAAGATTGTTTATTATTGCCTCTTCAATTCTTTTTGTTCTTATAGAACTGTTTAAAAAAACTGATGAGCAGATATGAAAATTCAGTGGATGCTGAGGTGCAACAGAGAGCGGTGGAGTTTCTTGCACTGAGTCGCAACGGACTAGCTATGGTGGACATCATGGCGGAAATGCCTAAGTTTCCTGAGCGCCAGGTATGGATCAAGTTAGGGAGTCATCAAGTTTGGATTGGTGATCGATTGCAACATATTTGGAGGTAAAGATATCGCGGTGGTCGTGCAAGATTAATGTGAAAAGCTTCCTCGTCCAATTCGCGTTATAATACACTGCAGTTGTTCACACATTCTTTACTCGTATTTTATTTTTCATCGTTAAGTGCACCTTGTGGGAGCTGCAGTCAGCTTTATTGAAGAAAGCAGTGGACACAGATGGGGATGCTCCTGAAGTTAGTGCAACCAAGTTGCGATTGCAGCAGCAGAATTCAATGGCCTTGGTAGTGGCAGATCGGCGGCCTCCCAATGGTGACCTTCATCTTCTTTCTGTAACAGAAGCGGGTGCTTCAAACCAATACCCAGTATGCTCCTGACATCCTTCAGGCTAGAACAATAGTCAAGTGTTAATCAGTAAAAGTCAACCTCTTTAATTACTCGTGTTTATCATCATAAGTTAATTAAGATAATTAAGGTTTTATTCAATAATTTTGGTCGATTGAACTTCATGAACAGTACTTAGTATAATGAGGGTGTTTCACGAACCCAAAGTATATCAATCTATGTTCAGCTTTTGTATTTTTTAATCCTTTTTTTCATTTAAGGAACAACTCGTGTTAGAAGATATACGAAGCCCTGGGGACTGTTTTTCTTTGTCGCATTAGTGCATACAAATAATTGATATTGCTCCAAAAAAACATGTCGAAATCCTCAAGCATCACGTTTTATTGGGTTTCAAGAAGATTTCAATGTAAGAATAGGCGCAGCGTGATAAACTCTGAAGACTTGGTCTCTTCAGAAGAGCTACATGAAGATTCTCGAGTGGGTTGTTTCTTGATCATGTCATGTTGGATGTCCGGATTGGATTTGACTCATTTTGTTTATGAAATTCATGGCATGCAGAAACACGCAGCAGTTGCTGAGTCTCAGGCATCAGAAGTACCACATTCCTCACAATCACAAGTACATTCTAATGGAGCAACCCAACAGCACGCTTCTGGGACACCTCACGGTGACTTGTTAGGTGACCTTATTGGCACACTTGCTATAGATGCACCTCCTGCTGAACCAACTACAGGTCCAAGTGATTCACAGGCACTGGAGGCTCCTCCCAAATCACCTGCTATATCAGCTGCCTCTGCAGACTCCCTTGCGTTGGTCGTACTTGACGCAGCTCCCACACAGGTCCAAGTATGTGCCTCGTGACTTCTTTGAAAAAACGATCCTCAATTGCTCTTAAACTTTTCTTTGCCTCTAGTACGTAGTAAACAGGTCTCTTTTTTTTTGGATTAGGTTTGTTACCAAAGATTCCTATCAGTGGTTTAGAATGTGAATTACAGGTGCCGAATTCCCATTTCTCTCTGAAATTGGTTGGCCTCGACTTTGCAATGGATATAAATGATCACTATTTGGTGTGATTTTTGTTGCACAGCCTCTTAAAAGTGTTTCGGAATGGTTCAGAGAGCTGTCCGTGAAAGACAGTGGTGTATTATATGAAGATCCTTATGTACAGGTAGGTTCCGCATCCTGTATGAAGCGCTTCTTTTTCATCTTCACGAGTTACTGGAGTTCGTGAATACTGTAGAATATCGATACTTTTGAAGTATATTATCAATTCTGATCCGTACAATCCCTCAGCAACTTTTAACCTTTGTCTCACAATGGGTAAAAGAGTTTTATCGTTTTTTTTTTCTTGCAGATTGGTTTAAAGGCGGAGTGGCGTAACGCCCAAGGCAGAATGGTTCTTTTCTTTGGTAATAAATTTACGGCACCATTAAGGAATGTCAGAGGTTCAGTATTATCACCACCTCATATAAGAACACGATCAGCAGTTGTACCAGAGACTATTCCTCCAAGAGCACAGGTATGCTTACCTGTTTTCAGCTGCTCAGGATTCTCGTGTAGTGTTTATTCAAGCTTAATTGTTTATTCAAGCTTAATGGTTTATTCAAGCTTAATTGTTGTTTCAGTGATGCAACGCTTGAGCGGCTAATCATCTATATTTTACAAGGAAAAGACACAGTATTATAAGCTTTTCTGTTGATAGCAACCTGCATGGCGTGACCTCGTTTGGTTTTGTATTCTTTTGGTTCGTTTATTCTTATCGTTTTTGAACATGATTTTTGGCAGGTTCAAGTTCCAGTTGATGTGGCATGTATAGGTGCAAGCAGAGAAACCGCAGTTCTTGATTTCAGCTATAATGTTGAGTATACACCTGTATGTACTCACTCTTCGATCTTTGAAGATGCCTAAGACGATTGAGAGTGAGCATGGATTGAAGTTAACTAACTTACGTTGTGAACCATTATGTTGTTTTGCTGCAGTTTTATTTTATGCATATGAATTTGTTTGTGTACGAAGGTAAATGTTTACTCATTTTCTGTGATCAAACTATTCAGCTCCCTCGCAGGCTGAATTGAAGCTCATATGATAATGAATGGCAGGTGAAGGTGCAATTAAAATTGCCGACTTTGTTGAACAAATTTTTGCAAATTGCTCCCGTATCGGCTAACGAGTTTGTAGCCTGGTGGAGGGCACTTGGGGGTCCACCATCAAAAATTCAAGAAGTGGCAAGTGTTTCTTTAACTTTGCGTCAGGCCCGGAACTTCATGAATGCATTTCTCTAGCCTTTCTGTGTACTTACAAGATATGTTTAGGAATGATCATAGATGTTCACTCCCTATTGTTCTGCACGTCATCAGTACTTAGTTTCAACTGATTTCACCCGCTCACTTTTATTCGTCGATTATTATCGCAGTCAGATAAGCCGTGGAGAGTCGGTTGATTAGATAAATATGTATTTTATCATGCAGCGAGAATGTTTGTCAACTTGGAAGTCAACATTTCAGCAAGTTCCAAATGTAATTATCATGGTTGCCCAGTCTCTGTGGGATGAAGTGCTTATTCCGTAATTTTAATTTACAGGTCCGTGGTGTAAGGCCTATGCCTCTCACGGATATGGCAGACCTCTTCATCCGTCTGCATGTTGGTGTTTTACCTGGCCTCGTAAGTTTCTTCTTGTGCACTTTTGACCCTCAATGCATTTTCTAAGAAACATAATATTTTCATTTCCAGATGGCCAGTCAAATATTTCGTTTTTGCGAGAGGTATTGATCTTTGGACTCTGCAGGATCCGAACGTCAACAATATTGTTGCTGCAACAACTTTCTATTCTGGAACTGCAGCCACTTTGTGCTTGGTACTTTAGCGTAACCAATTTTTTTCCCAGAATCCCACTTCAGTGGATCAATTTACGTCAGAAATTGTGAATGGCGCATCAAATACCTGGGTTGCGAATGTGCACAGGGCTCTTCAGTCAGTTATTATAGCAGTATGTGTCCACTGCAATTGAATACCAATTAATTGCGACGGTGACTAATATAAGCAGATTGTGTAGTGGCTTTTCTCCTAGTGTAGGATTTAGATTAGGTTGGTATTAACTATGTGGTCATGTGCTACAGGTACGAGTTGAAACAGATCCCTTGGACAGAACACAGATGAGATTAACAGTTGCTTCAGAAGTGCCCAATACAACATATGAGTACTGCACCTCACTTAAGCTCCACTTCTGCATCCACTTTCTGCGTGTTGCTTTCAACTCAATGTTCACAGTTTTTATAGCGTATTTGAAAGCAGCTCTGTCTGGAGGCGTTGACGGTTGGAAGTTCGGTTATTTCCCCACACTTAAGTGATTCTGCACATTATATACCCGATACTGAGAAATTGTGTGCAGTCTTTGACTCTTTTGTGACGTTTTATACTCTTTCACAGGCTGAAGGAACTCATGAAGGAGCAACTAGTGGACATCCCGTCATTAGCACAACCATCACGAACTTCAGCATCATCACTTGCTGCAATGGGTTTGACAGCACCTGCTGCTGCTCTGGCAGGTCTTATTTAAGACTCATGCTCCAGTTCGTAAATTCGCTTGTTTTACACAAACTTGGGATGCAGAGGATTGATCTTACAGCTTCCTGCATTGCATTGCCTATGCAATACTCGGTGCAACAGTTCACGACACGCCCCTCCTCATTCATTACACTAATACACCATTTTCTCGTCGATCCTCTTCATCGATTTGTGAGGGAGACGGTTTGGAGGTGATTTAACCTAATGCATCACGCATAGGTTTGTACCACCTAGCATTGCTTGATGCATAGGTTCTGAAGGTGCATCAGCAGGGTTGTAAGTAGTCGAAGGATAGCTGATGTTTTTATGAATATGGGATCGGCATCCAAGTGTTGCTGTCGCCGGCAAAACAACTTTGGTGTGGCACTTGTTAAAAGCATGATGGAGATTGTTAGTGTGAAATATTAGATAGATGCATCATTTTTACACTGAAATTTCTCACACCTGGTTTTAGCTTTTTATAACATTTCTTAGTGTTTTTTGTTTAAGTGTTACGTGATGTAAAACAATATTTTAAAATGGGTGCTTCATTATCGTTAATGGTGGCAATGTCACGCATGACGAAGTTGCGTTATAGTCTATTTTCTATTTCTGCCCATGCACTGGTTGTTCAGAAGATGGTGCCAGTGTTTCTACATGCTTTTCTAGCCTCTCAACCACTTCATTGAATGCACTGCTCAGAGTTACAAGATTATCAACGAGAGGTACAAACCTATGCATCACGCAACACTGCACTTGATCTCTACGTTGGTTTCCAATTACCCATCCATAACAGAAGTACGCTTAAGAAATTAGTGCTCTGCTTTGCTTGAAATGACGAAAGTTGGGTTAGTTAAAGGGCCCATACATGCTTCCCTGTGACATAGGCACAACTGCAGTAACAACTCATGCAAACCTCTTTATTTAGGGGTTGTTCGGTCTTTTGAGAATAGTCGGCAGGGACACCAACATAAGGATACAAAACAGACACCATCCATTAAAACCCCTTTGAATGGATCTACTTGTGGCATCTGCTGCGAAACCATGAGTTTAAACTGAGGGGGTCCGATGCTTTTGACGAACACAGCTGCGCACATCATTTGACCGCCACCACGAATTGATTTTAATCCAATTTAAGCACATCAATTGGTTGTTAGTGTGACAAGTACATGTTGCGATAGATCCAGAGATCTCTCCAAATTCCTCTTCACTAGCTCTCTTATTACGAATCCATTCACGCGAGCGTGATGGCCGTTATTTTTGACAACCCTGAGTCAAAAATAAATTTTATGCTAAAGACATATCGGGAGGAATCATCCTCGACAACCTCGCCATCCTTCGCACACAAACCACCTCCTAATGTCGAATCGTACTGTTTGATTCGCTCGTCGAATCAAACCAAGAGAATGCGCACACACGGCACACGGATCGAGCTTCAAATACTTGTCAATGTTCATATTTTCCCCACTGAACCGGACCGAAATATCCCCTTCCCCTAGTGGTAAGTCAACCAGCGGTTTACAGTAGTCATGAAAGAATATTAACAGAATGTCATCAGCTGTTAGGGGCAAAATCAAATTAGCAAATTGCCGCTTCTGAAGGGCCTCAAGAGGAAGAAGACTGGCATGAAACATGAGAAGCGGATAGAATCTACGAGAAAAGCTTTTCGAAGCGTTGCTGGCGCTTGAACATGACAACGCTGCACACACCAGCCGAAACGGTAGATTATTCAGTCCTGTTCTAATACTTCCATACGCCTTAAAGGAATGATCTTTATGATTCATATTAGAGAAAATTATGAATCATTGTCTAGTTGCAGATAGTGAAAGTTAGGTTTGGTCTAAACATAAATTTGTACAGGGTTCATTGACGTGACGAAACATCTTGCAGTGCAGACAAGAGGAGATGGTGCAATATGGTAAATTGAGCGGAAAATATACGAACATTAGAGGAATGCGAGAATTTGAAGGCTTTCCCGACAACTACTGAAAAGCTGCCTAGAAAAAATCAAAGAAACGAAAACAAAGGACCTGCTAGAAATCTTGACCACACAGGAATTACAGCTAATAGCTTTTAGAGCATACCTGCAGAAAGGAAGTAGAAAGAACTATGCAGTTAACAATGCTCAACTTACGATCAATCAAATAATTGTTCTAATACTTACTTCAATACAATAATAACCACATTCTAGAATTGTTAATTGAAATATGCAACATAAAGGATGGACTTCGGCCCCTGCTGAGAGCATGACCCCGGTTATCCTGATAAACATAGAAGATGAGGCAAATATTCTCAAGTTAGTCAATGTGCACTTAATGACGACCTTGCTCACCACTGTCACAAATCAGGATGTGTTCGCTCCCTGCAACAAAATAGTTCAGCTCTAAAAAAATTAGATAGGATAAGAGGTAAAGTAATGATCACATTTGTTCTAACCAAGTCACCAAGTTAGTGCGTATTCACTAAGAGAATTAACAAGTTATTCCAGGTAGAAGTATCGAGAGCATCGTCAGCCGTTTCAGACTGAGGGTTAAGTTAACAAAACTAATCCTAGAACAGCCCTAAAATCTACTGAAGGTGCTTTGACAAATCATTCCGATAACCAAGAGTTGGCACTGAGTATCCTCACATCGTTTCTTTCCAACTAGTTTTATTTTATTTCTTGCCAAAATAGCAAATCGATATGCACAATCAGTGTCCCTATCGTGAGCAACTACCTAATTATCTCTATAGAATGACGAGACTCCATGAGTAGGATCGAATAAGCCCTCAAGAGGCTGAATATTTAGCTTCTTTGCTCTCAGAAGATCGTCCCATTTGAGTGGCCGTCTCGTCGCACCAGGATACGTCACTTCTTGAGGCAAACTCTTCCCATAATAATGTTCCTCCCTCCTTCAACAACTTGGCAACACTTGTAGCCTGCGAACCGTCTCCACAATTCACACCTACACTGGGCTTTGATAGGTCACTTACTAGTCTTTTCATGTACCTGACAATTTTTCCACCAATGAGAAGTCTGATGTTTGTAGCGATTGCAGATCCAGATCAAATTTATGGCAGTAGATCCTGGAAGCCAAATATGAACAAGGTAGAGTACACATGGATATCAAAGAGAATTGTACATGGATTGAACTGCAAGTACTGTCTTTCTATTTCAACATCGCCTCATATACGGCCTGGAGGATTGTAATCAAATGATGCAGAATATGCTTTCAGATCATACCATGTATTGGCGTAGGCTTCCGTGACAACGACATCACCACCAATGCTCTTCAAAAACTCTATAGATTCGTTGACACACGACTTGTTAGGAAGAATGTTGATAGTCATGTAACCTCTCGCCTTCGCTGCCTTAATCAACGCTTTTCCGAACTCACTGTCGGCTTCATTGTGCACCACTACGTCCCCTGAACAGTTCAACCAATCCGTACAGAAGCTCAAAAACAAAAGGATCATCTGCTCAACCCCTACGGAAAGCGTAAATGACACAAATCTCAAAAGACCCCTCGAGGATGAGGACATAATAATATAACAATGCTTCAAAGAAAAGGGAGCAATTCAGAGATCGAACCAGGGTGGAGCTTCGCCGCTTGAAAAACCTTCTCGGCAGCGGAAGTGACATCCGTGGAAATGCAAGCACAGGGCTGCAGCAGCGACAGCAACCGCCAGGGTCGCAACGAAGCTACTGTGCGCATCGCCATAGCCACACGCGCAATGCGAGCGAGCTGGTATTCAAACCCCACGAGGGATGCAGACTGGGCCCTCTGCTTCACTCTCCGAAGCGGTTCCACATTGAATTGGTCCGGTCCTTTGGAGGAACCAAAGGCTGAGAGCCTTCACGGTGGTAGCTTCAACCCCAACTGGTTAAAAGTGTTATTCGTTGAATTAACTACCCTTACATTCTCTCTCAAGTTTTTCATTGTTCCAACGCCATCTGTACAAAATTGTTCAAAAATAATGATAACAACATTAATAATGATAAATATTTTGTAATTCACCTCATGATAAATAATGATCGTTGGCTAATCAGCCCTCTTTCTCTCCTTAGTATTTATCCTCCCTGCTATGTAGATATTCATTTTAGTGAATGGATAATTATTCACATATAGAAAATCCTAGTATATATATATATATATATATATATATATATTGATATTTTAAAAAACTCCCTTGCATAATTATATATATATATATATATATATGTATATAATTTAATATTTTCAAAGTATTTTTTTCTTTTAAATTAGAAGTTAAAGATTACAAACTTATAGTTGTGTTTTATAGTATTATTCATTCTCTTCAATTAAAAAATAAAACATTAAAAATATTATCTTGTATACATCAAAACATGAATATATAAAAATATAAATTTAAAATTTCAATGGCTTTTCTTATTTTATTATTTATTTTAAAAAATATACCTAAGTATATGTATATATATATATATATATATATGATAAAGATTATTACTTCATCTTTTGACACTTATTTATTATGTGCATGAAGAGTGCATTAGGATATAGTCATTTTGGTTGTTTTGTTGTAATTATTATTTGACGTCATTGTTAATGCTTGTGCAAACTTATGAGAATCTTTATGAACATTCATTAACAATGAATGTTCATGATTGTCATATCAAGTTGTAAATTTGACATTGTACCAAGATAAATTAGAGTAAAATTAATGTTTGGAATTTGTTGATTTGCAAACAACTATTATTTTACTCCAAAATAGGTGTTGAACAACACCTCTTTGAAATTGTTTTTGAGTCAATGTCATTCAAAAATATGAACTTATGAGAATCTTATCAAGGCTAAGATTTGAATAGTAAATAATATAAAATCCAGTAGATTTAACATCAAGGGAATGTTAATACATCCATTCTTTTACTAAATTTATCCATCCATTCTAACCATCATGAAAAGAGAAAAAAAAATGGCCTTTATGTTCATTTCTCCACTATTGGATCCAATACTAATAAAAACCAACCATATTTATCATGATTACCATATTCTTCATGATGGATAGGTTGATTTAATAAAAAACCTAAATCTATTTAGCATTCCCTTTCATATTATCATATATATATATATATATATACAAATACAATGAAAAAACTTGTTTTAAAATATACAAAAGTGACTATTATATTCTTCTTGAAAATATTTACAAACATGTATTTTTTAGCACATAATTTTTAATAGTATTGGTCTCTTAAATGATTTTGATAAAACAATATATATATATTAGAAATTTCATCAATCAAATTTTAAAATGAGCAAGCTCAAATTACAACATAATCAATCAAAATTAATTTAAAAAATCTTTTAAATATTTAATGCATGACATCTATATTATTCTAATTTTTTTATTTTTAAAGCATGAAAATTCAATTCTTGAGAATTAAAATAAATTATTCATAAGATCATAATTCAATCATTCATAGTGTAATACCTTCTTTTTTTGCAATATCCAAAAATATTTTATGGTTTTGTGATGAAAATATTAATCAATATTTGATTTTTTGAAATAAATAAACTAATTGAACTTATAAGGTATTCAAATTTCAAGTTATAAATATTGTTGATTTTTTTGGAAGCTATGTCAATATAATATAGAGAATATATAATAAAGAAACTTGGTGGATAAAATAGTTTTAGAAATACATCACACCAATAACATAGCATCACCTTGAAATTCATCACATTATACAACGTGCCAAAACAAAAAGAAGGAAAATATTGCATAATTTGTGGAATGTACTTATGAAGACACAAAGGGCTGCTCAAAGCTACCTCTAATTTTGTCCTAACTTTAGAATGAGAAATCAAAGAAACAAATTCTCCAATGAAACCAGATCTATTTCTACACAAATAAAACATCCAATCGTTATTTTTTCCTTTTCACCCCAAATATTATTTCAGAAAGATTTACAGAATCACGTTGTCCTTATATAAACACCCACGAATGACAAAGGAATCAAACATGTCCAAGGAACTGGATTCATTCATATCATAGACACACTAAAACCCCAAAATCGAGCGAAGGACTCTAGTCACCGATGCAAGTAGCCATGCCACAAGCGGGAAAGGATCGTGGAGACGGGGAGCCTGGTGAAGCGAGATCAGCGGATGAATGAGGAACTCAACCGAATTGCCGAAGCCAAGGAGCGAAGCTGCAGAGCAAAGCAAAGCCCAAGGACGCATGCGCAGCAGCGAGATAGGGAGCAGGGCACCAGGCCCCACGTCGAGAAAGAAGCGGCCCGGGAAATAGACATGACAACGTGAGATGACTCCGGGAGGCCCACCTGGGTACCAGAATTTAGGATAGATTGCGCCACTGGGATTCCCAGGACTATTTCCGGACATGAATCCCCTCTGTTTGTTTCTAGTTAATGGCATTCACGCATCGTAGCGTTGCGCTAGGTTGCAGTTCTGAGTTCCAGGGACGAGAGACTTTCTGGCTTCATCGATCGACGCTGTTTTCAGTGCCGATGTCAGGGAGTAGGAGTTGAGCTTGGAGGCAATCCGGTTGGGTTGGGGTATCAATAGTGCGAGAGATTGCTAGTTGGCGGACGTGGTCGTGGTTGCTGATGATTTACGAGTGGATAGGGTGCTTTTGTTTGTTTTTATTGAAGTTCGGAGAGGACAGTGATTTGCGTTGCTAGTGATGCGTGGGGACTAGTGTGCTTGGATCAGGAATGAGAACAGTGTTGCGGGTGGAAGAGGATGGAGGAGACGAGGATGTGAGGTGTATGGTTGGTGTGGATTAGTTTTTCAATGCAGGAATAAGTGTAGAAGAGGGATATGATTAGGACCATGGCGGAAGAGAGGGGAGATGAGAATCGGGCACAGGTATTAGCAGATGCAAAGCTGTGACCCTTCGCTTGCGTTGCGATTTGGAGGGGAGTGGGGAGAATGGCGACCAAGGGTTCGCGCCTGGCCCTGACGCCGACTTCGTCTGGGGCGTCATTGGGGTTGTCTGGACGTTTGACGGAGAAGACAGCAGAGGAGATTCAGAAATCTCACGACGAGGAATTGAGTGCCGCGCATCGTATTACCTTCAGTATAGATCTAGCATTTGCTGCAAAGCGTCTGTTGGGATTTCTTCGCACCATTGATAGCATGTCTTGTTTACACAAGGGCCCAGCAGTTATTCGGGCTATCCGTAGGTAATGCCAATCTTTGAATCTTCCAACATCATTATTGGACACGCACAATATGCGGAGAGCGGAGAGCTTAGTATATGTTACTTCGTCTACGATAAGCTGCGGTTCTGAAGCATGTAATCTAATACGATATTTATTGACTGGAATTTAGCTGTCGCTTGGCAGGTACAAGAAGTTTTGGATGCCCTTGGTAGCAGATTCCCTCAAGTTCGATGCATTGCTTAACGCTGATTCCAAAGGAAAAGGGCTCTTGCCTCCGCTGGACGTGCAGTGGGTGTGGCATTGCCATCGTTTGAATCCGGTCCGTGTTAAAGCCCAGCTCTTGTTTTCATGAAATTGTTCGAGATACATCACCCTCGATTGCAGTCGTGTAGAGTTTGCAATTTTCTAAATTTTATTGTAACGCCCTGTAGGTCGGGTACAGGCAATACTGCATCACGAAATTTGGCAGAGTTATCGACTGTCCTCTCTATCCCGACACAGCTAGCGAGAGTTTCGCCCAGGAAAGGTGTAGGAGACTGTGGTCAATCGTGTATCAAAAGGAGCCTTACGATATTTTGTCATCTTTCTACAAGTTCCCAGGAACTTCCAGTCATGCGTCTGGTCAAGTTTGTCCCGTGGATGACATTGACGGCTTAGAGGAGCTTATCGCCGCTGTTGCCAAGCAAAGCAGTTTCTACTACTATGTAGGATCTTCTGCCGCCTGTGCCGCTTCACTGGGTTTCTCTCTTCTCAAGCTAGGGTATAGAGGTTAGGCACTTGGATATTGATTGCTGGCTTCTGTTTTTCTGAAGTTTCATGGTGTTCGTGTGTGATTTCCAGGTTTCGCAGCCTTACATGTGGGAGGATAGCTTTTTGCAAGCCGCGACGGAGAGATATAAGTGCTTCTTGCATTTAATGTACAAATCGAGAGGAAGAATCATCTGTATTCCAACCTTCGACATTGATCTGGTTTGGCACTCTCATCAGCTAGCACCTGTGGCATATGCGAAAGATACCAAATCCTTGTTGGGGTCTGTTGCAGATTACGGCACTGGCACTGTAGATAGGGGACCCGGATCAAAAGTGGGACAGGTTTTCGAGGACACAGCGAGGTTATGGGAGAGCATGTTTGGACTCTCTTACGAAAGAGCGGGGTCGATGTATCGCAACTTCAAGCCTGTTAATGTTCCGCCCCCGCCTGTTTTTGAACTTAAAAACAGCCTTGTGCTGGAAAAACCACCCACTTTCCTGCCCTGGGATGCCCGCGTGGCAGATCAAAATCCTACCAAGTATCCTGTTCTCACTCCGAGACACGTCGTACAGGTTTGCGTCTTAATGAAGTGTGTCACAAACATGGTGGCCATTGGAAAGGAGAATTCGGATCTGTTCATACGTTTGAGGACATTAGATGCATACACACTCTTGAAGCTAGATACTCCCGTGGTTCCTTTAACACAAGATCCCCAGTGGCAGAAGCTATGGGCCCTTCAATGCGAAACCAAGACCAAAGGCGTAACGTTGGAACTGCGCTCCCACGTCGATGGCTGTATGAGGACTTTCCACAAAACGAAACGCATAGGCCGGGCGAGGCTCACATGGCAGGATCTCCAGAAAGCGCCAACGCTATCCCATGAGATCGTCTTCCCCCTGCATGAGAAGCGGTACAAGTCAATCGAAAGCAGGCAACCCCTCCAGCTCCGCCTTGATGTATCGATTACACCACCTGTACAGGTATTGTTATAGAATGGACAGTGTTTTTGGATTGGGTTTCAGGCACGGCGCATGTTTTAGTAGCCCATGTAAGTTTGCCGCCGCTTTCTTTGGTCCTTTATTTCAGTAAGACTGTCTCTTTAATTTGAGCCTCATGCGGTTTTGCAGGCTGCGTACTTTTTGAAATCACTTCCCGACAGAGTTACGGACGATCAGGGGGCCATGCTGTCTGGCACTATATTGCGGAAGAGGCGTTGGGAACCCCAAGCCGGCCGATGGATCTCACGAACTGTCGTCAACCACGCTGGAAAGGAAAATTTTGTCATCCGCATTAGGTGAGTGCGGTGCTGTCTTCATCACAACTTTTGATAGGAAGAGTTGCAGCTGACTGAATATCGCCTGAAATTTAAAAAATTGGAATGACAAAACCTAAACGTGGCTTGCTATCTGTGTTTGGCTCTGGAATGATGCAATAGAGCTGCCAAGGGATCATGGAGGAAGAGGGGGGATCGACCAGTGGGTGTGGACTGGAACGAGCGAGTCATCAACATTCACGAAGGAGGGTGGAATTATGTTGTCAACAGTGTTGGTATCGCGCCAGAAAAAATTGTTGGGAGTGCAACTCCCTTGGCTCATGAGCTTGAGGAATACAAGCTAAGCTGGGCGCTGTCTACAGGAGACACGCTCATAATTTCGAGACAGATGAGTGACGACAACTGGGAGCGACATCTTGAGTTTACTCTTAAAACTTCTGGCAGAGGAGCTGGCTTGGTTAGATTGATAACCCTAAGCTTTTAGAATCTTGTTCCGCTTGATCATAAATGTGAAGTTCAGGTTGCTAGTGTGCTAGAGTTCTTTACTAGGGCTCGGTCGAACTTCTCTTGAATCTGAAGTCGTCCTTGCTTTGGATGGTGAGTGCAGGCGCGGCTGGTGAACGGTCGCAAACAGCAGTACGAAGTTCCTGGAGCGTCTCCCCAAGACGAGGAGGGTTTTATTACCCTCATCCGCTACGGTCCTCATACGCCCCAAGGCAAAGCGACGGCTCTATTTAGTTTTAAGGTGTCGGCCATGGAAGTTCTTCCCGAGGAAGACGTAGTGCTGGTGCTTCTTCTCTGCACGGCGACCATGCGATCTATTGCTGACTTTGGAGGATTGTCCGCTGGAAATGATTACACCCGGCGACGAACCAAAGAGAACAATTCTGGTTACAAGGATTGGGGTTCGGTTATTCTTGAGAACACCGCTCGTCACCCCAATCTGGCCCATTGGTATTGGGATTGTAGCCAGAATGCTGAGGAGGACGAAGGTGATGGCGAGAATCATCCTGGTATATCCAGCCCAACGCATCCTTCACTAGCATCTTCCAGATACTCGAAAAGCATTCGAAGATAACGTTATTCTTTCATTTGGTCAATTATACTAATGGTGTGCATTTTTCAGGGCGAATTGCAGCTTCCGACACGAAAGTCGTGGATTGGAGCGGCACTGAACTCGCACTGAAATCAACTTCGAGCAGAAGATTAGCCACTCAGTCATCAACGGCCACTGCACCTGCTGTTGAAGGCTGTACTCCAGTGAAAGGGCATTCAGGACGAAGATCCGGCAGAAGCATGTCACAAATAACTCAAAATGTGAATCAATCAAAGCGTCCGACAAGTGTTCCTTAACTTGTATCATATGGACATTGTGGTACGCCTTTGCCGCCCGTTGTCATTGCTTCCATTTCTCCCCCCAGAGTATACATGCACCCCTATGCCACCATCAAGAAGAATGCAAGTAGAGAAGACAGTCACCTCGTGTACATTGATTGGGGTGATGAATCTGACATAATTCGAATTGGAGAGGATGCACTAGTTCACTATAGTTGGAATAATTTGTGATCCAATTTCGTAGCAAGGAGAGTAAAGGTGGACGATTAGAGTATATGTGGACCACCCTGCTCAAATTCAGTGCAATCCTCGGCTTTTTCAAACCAAAAAGCCGTGCTGAACGTGCAGATTGTGGGTCAGTAATGCAAGACAACTGGCAGGCGTTCTTTTTACTCCTCCTTGATGCAAGAAGGCGATACTTTTCATGAAGTATGGCAGTCTACGGTTTTCATGTACAAAAGATTTTCATAAATATTATTGCAACTACGAAGAAATTGTTGCCCAATAACAACTGGATACATCCACCCGCAAATGGCAATATCACTGTTTGTAAAGGTGTCTCATCTTGGTTGGAAAATGATTGTTCCAAACATGGTAGGATACTACCACTCACAAACCTGTACATGCTGAATTTATGTGCCTGACCTAGTCACAAGGAACGAACTCTCCGAGAGTTCAAGATTACGAAAACCTTGAAACCTCGGTAGGCACACCCTGAACTCAGCGCATTACGATACTGGACAGCCTTGCACATCCCGCCACTTTAGATATACCAACCCACCGTGGTAGTGAACATAAGCACCCGCCACAACGAGAACATGAAACAACTGGTGGCTGTTGCCAATGATGTCAAAAGTGCCTGGTGTCCATCGCTCCGGGATACGGGTGGCATATATCAGGGCGCTCAAAGCATAAATACCGCCCATGAAGATCTCCATGTTAAACGCTTGGTAAGCCAAAGGCTCGTAATGGTATAAGAAAATTTTGTGCAAGCAGGGAACGATTCCCGACAACCCCATCGTGCAGAACACAGCTGCACGAACTTGACGATACTCTGCTGTCTGAAACACAGGTATCATGGATGCAAGCAAAGAGCATACCCCCATGGTTGTGATCATGCCAAGGTACATCTTGCACAGTGCAGGATTGCACATGAAGCTGTAGTATACCTGCAGCATCGAGAACACATAATTGAGTCAATTTAAAATCAACATCTTCGCCTAAACAGATCAATTTCATATCTACAAATCTGTCAGTCCACAATTTTGGCGAACGATCCAGCTAACATAACCATAACATGGCAGAACGATACAGCAGGTGCTTCTGTTTCAAGATGGCTGTTTCTTAACTAATTGATTAATATTAGGATGGCATTAGGAACACGGTTTCATCAAATGTCTTAAAATATTGATCGTTGCAAAATACAACCATAAAGAAATCCTTCAATGCCAGCTCCTCAGAAGTAACATCACTTGGATTTGGAACTCTCATTAACCACTGAACCTTGGCAACAAATAGAGCTGACAGTGATCCATTCTCTTGTGCGGCTTATTAGTTCTTAAAAAGTCTAAGGATTGGGGATGTTCCCTGCACCTCTACATCAGAAAGCTCCTCTAGAAAAAATCAGGGTCAATAACTCGTTCCAACGTCAGGTATGGCATGAGTGTTCTCAACTTTCAAGCTTTTGAAGATCAAGGAATTTTCCTCAGATAGTGTAGAATGTCCCACAGACTCTCGTGCTACACTTGATAAGTTACATTGCAGCAAATCCAAGCCAAAGTGCATGGACATGACTGGCTCGGATGAGAACATGAATAGTCATAGATAGTGGCCCAGAATACGTACAGGAGGGAAAAATGATGTTGCGATGAGAGTTGCGATCCCTGCATAGTCCAGCCGCATCAATAGGTAGAACGTTTTAGCTGAACGGCAGCCCAGCAGATGACACATGGTACTTGCAAACATGCAAAACATGGCACCTCCCAAGAATGCGAAGAACGGCCATCGTGTGATTGGTTTCTAGATCAAGACCCAAGACCAACAAGAGCAAGATTAAACACCACAACATGGGCTGATTGAATACAAACTTCCTCGATTGAACGCATTGAAGCCAAACAGCTGATTTATTATATGATTCATACAAGGACTCGTATACAATGTATACAAGGCTTAGAACTCCGCACCTGTACACAATGAATGCCGTCGAAAGTGCCAGGCACACAACTGGAGAGAGCTTCGTTCAGCTGCAAATACGAGGGCATTACATCGTTGATTTCATGTTGCCACTTGTGAAGAGTTGACGGCTCTACAATTGTCGGTATATGCATTGCTGTGTAAATAGTAAGTCCCAAAAACAGAAGAAAACCAATCAGATGCCTGCCAAATCGCCAAAGCCACAAGCAGGTATATTAATCAGCACCACCGCATAGCATGTGTGAAGTCCATCATGGGTGCGTCAGGTGCCGAAGGTAAGAGAGATATGAGCTTGTAAATGCAACAAATAATCACAATTCGAAATGTTGGCTTGAAAGGAACAGCGAAAGGGCGAGAGTACGTACGACCAAATGTTGAAGGTTTCGTTGTGCATGGAGAAGATTGAGAGCAGAGAGTGCTTTAGAGGCCAATCAGCACGGTAATGCCGCAGAATAAAACTGTTGTCTTGAAGGTACTCTGGCAGAGCCGAGAACTCCACAAGCTGGTTCAATAATTCAGTAGCTTTCTCACTACGACTACTCATACTCTTATTAAAGGTCCTCTCTCCCCCATAGCTATCCCTCCCATTCAAGTCCTTCAAGCTCTCTACATTATTTCTCCTCCGAATGATACTCTCGGGCGGAAACTCCACCTCATAAAGCTCCTCTGCTCCCATCTTCTTTCCCACAGCAAAGAATCAACGTATCCTTCCCACCTAAAAACCAAAAAAACAAACAAAAACACGCAGAAAAGAAAACTCCACCCAGAAGCTACAACTAAATTCTCTACACTCTGTCACCAAACTTCTCAACAAATCCAAGACCACCACCTCTGCCAATACAATGGGCAGGCTCCACGCTCTTGAACCCAGAGAGCTACGTCTCAGCAGTAGGGCAGCGAGCCATCCAAAGCATTTATAGGACACCGGCGGAACAATCCCCGCATCTGATCACAGCAGCATTCAATTCCCCGACGAGTCCAAACCTAAATATCAAAATCAAAACCAGGACATCATCCACATGCAGCATTGCATTGGACCCCAAAGCGTCAATCCCCGCCTCTCAATCTCGCCTGGGCGATCACGAGCTCTGACCCTCTCTCTCTGGGACAATCCCGGGGGGGGGGGGGGGGGTCAGATTAAAAGCTGTGGTACATCAAGAGAACATCTGGTGTGGAAGAGTCGCTGGGTTGCAGTTGAAGAAAGTATATATTGCAGCAGCAGGAGAGGAGAGCAACAGGCCCCTTGGAGGCAGCTCCACCAACAGGTGGCGCATTCGGGATCCCAAAAGGGAAATTCCCTTTCCCCTCTTGTAGCATCATCTCTGTGCCCCTGTCCTGCCCTTGTCCTGCAAGCCTGACTGCAAACCTGTCTACTACTGCGACTACTACTACTCCACCAACCCACCAACCCACCCACACACACTCTCACACGCACTCAGACCCAAACTGTCTCCCGCCACTTCGCCGCCGCGACGAGGCGACCCAGGAAACGGAAGCCACGTGGCGAGTGCTTTGTTGAGTTGGCATCTCGGACCTGCAGTTCCAGATGCGGGTAGATTCCCTAACTTGATGCTTTGTGATCCACCTGGCATGTGGCTAAAAACCCAAACTTCCAGTGATGTCATCCCTTATTTTGGGACCAACTCAGGATGAGTGACCGTGAGTTTCACTTCTGGTCGTTCCCACGTTTTGGATTATGTAGGTGTCCCCTCCCCCTTTTCTTTTCGTTTATTAATTGGGTTTTGGTTTGTGTTGTTCCCCTGAAGACGTTGTTGATGGAGAACATTTTTTTCTTTTTTTCTTTTTTTTTTCTCTTTCACTTTCATGCTTTCGAGAAAGATGTAGGATTATTGAAATTTATTACTTCCATTTGTTTGTTATTTTACTTACCTTTCTCTTTTGAATTAATGATAGCCATATCGTTACAACAGTCTTTTTTTTCTGGTTTTCTGATAATACATTTTTTGTATCAAGAAATGTGGGAAAAAGTCTTTAAAGACATAATAAATAATTTTGTTGAGGAAAATAAGTAAATAAGTCAATTTTTTAAAATAATAGAATAAATAAATGTAATCATTCCAAAATGATATGATAAATATTCACAATAATAAGACATAGACTTAAACTGATTTAGTTGTTTATTCAGAGAATTTTTCAATGCATGTCAGTCCCACATCAATTTTTAAAAATGTGAAAACTTCTTGAAGCAACATGATGTGATTAAATTAAAGTGATTTTGAGACCCATTTAGGTTTTAAGGTTTTAATTTATAATGTAATCTACAAAATAACATAGAATTATAATTTACGAAATTTACTGCAAAATAATATTTGTAATAATACCATTTTAAAATATAATTTATATTTAAAAAGTATAATTTCCTCTTAAAAAATAATGATGCATGTTTAAGTATTAAAATCAATAACTAAACAATCACATTAAGATTGATATATAAAGAATTGTTTTTTTCAAACATGTTACAATTTTTCTTCAGATGTAACAATTGGATAAATCCATCACATAGAGTTGAGACTTCCAAAGTGGAATTTAAAGTGCCAACCTTTGAAAAACGCTTTTTGGTACATTTGCCATCCTCTAATAGTTTTAAGGTAAAATCGGACTAAATACATCACAATTTCTGGTAGCTAGTGCATGTATTTGCAATTACAATAGATAGAGTGACTGTAATCGTCTGTTATTTTATTTTCCATCCAAAAGTAATTTTAAACACATGTTCTGGTCATGAGTGGTTACAACACAAATTTATGATCAAATGATAAGACCTTCTTGAATAAACAACAGTTAACCGCCTCAATTATCAAAGTCCAATTGTTGTTTGAACCATTGTTTTAATAAGATGTACAATGACTCAATATGATTTTACAACAATTCATTACAAATCAGTCGGTATATCAATTGAAAGTTGCAATCTTGCTAACTAGTGTAAACATTGTACACGAATTGTTAATAATAATAATCATAATAAGCCATGCCTCTAAACACTGTAATAGTGCTTCCACTGAATTCTTCACAAAAAATAATAATTTTGATGATTTCCATAACTTACTTCAGTACACATTCACAGTATCATTTGAAAGTTAGACTTGTCAGCACAAATTGGTAATTGACATTATTCCATATTCATTCAAATTGAACAATATCTGTTCTAAATTGATCCATTGTCAACAGTATTAGTGCCATATTGATTCATATTGATCTATATTGTTGTTCATCAATATTTATGACTATGAGATAATAAATTAGAGAAAATATTAAATTGACCCACCTAAATCTTAATCCAATCCACCATGCAACTTCTGGATAATAATTATGCCAGTTGCTTTGCACCTCACCTTCATAATAATCAACTTTGATTTTTTTCTACTTTCACATGTAGGTTAATTTATTCCAAGCCAGCTAATCATTCTCCACAAGCTAGATGCACTCTAGGCCAATCAACCATTCTACACAAGTTCATTGTGTTACACTAAGCTTAGCTTTAGCCACTTAAAGCCTTTACTACCTTTAGTTGTTTGCTTTGATTAACTTAAATAAGGTTCTAATGCAACATAACAATAGATAAACCAATTTAATATTTAGGTGGGTCAATTATATTTTTATGACAAGTTGAATAATAGTTTACTTTAAATTGTACTAAGAAAAACTATATCACATTGTATTTTAAATATATAAAGAAAAAGATACTCAATAATATACAAAAAAACCAATGAAGTATATGAAAAGAAATGGATTTAGGGGAATGCTAAATATACTAGGGGGTGTATTTAGCATCACAAGTGCTTTAGGGGGAGTCCAAAAGTCATGTGGGCGGTGGAGATAGCAATTTGAGGGGTGCATTTAGCATTGCCTTACAGCGAATGGTGTGTGTACGAATGAATGTCTAAGTACATATAATTATGTGTTTAATAATAAACAACAGCAAAACACATAATTTGAAGATTTTATTGTAAAATTTACAACTGAGTTGTTAACTATTTAAAAGTAAAGATGTGAGAATTACAGTTTAGCATCTCGATATGTTAAGTGTAACACACGAACTGTACTTGACTATGAATATATAGGACATATACATACTCTAAACTTCACTTCTAGACTTGAGACAAGGAAATTCCTAATGCATTTAAATAAACTAATGATGCTGTTATTCATAAATACAATACACACAACTGTGTACAACGGAATGGTCCAAATCGTTTTTTAATAAACTTGTAGTGATTCACAGTAATTTAAAAGAACACAAAATATATATGGCAGCAAATAGAACTTGTATTGATTATAGTTTAAGGGATAAGGCAAAAAGCCGAGAATGATCCATTTCATGATAATAAACGTTTGTTACTGAACAATAAAAAGTACACTATAAATGACAGCCTCTGAATTCATTTTAATATATTACAAAAATATAGTTTGTGAAACAGAATCAGTGCCAAGCAAGTTGTAACGTAAATTTCTAACAAGAAAAATGTCATCAACCGTGTAACATAGCATCAATAACACCAACAAACAACTTCAAGTCATTATCAACTAATATTGGCACCGTACAATTCCCCTGTAAGTTTTAAGAAAAAACTAACAAATACGTCGATACTCAGACCCATTCAAATGTACATCTACAACGCACAACCAAAAACCATTAAGAATAATACAATCCTAGTACAATAACCAACAAATTCAATTCATCTAAAACTTAAACCAGAGTATCACACAGCTGACTTGAAATTCTGTCGAAATAAATTCAATAATCTGGACAACAAATTAAAATTGAAGTAGTACAAAACTAGAAAACAATGATAAAACTAAAATATCCTAAAGAAAGAAAAGAATCTCAATCAAATACATGCACAACATAGGCGAATACCGAAGATCCACACAATAGATAAATTCGCAAAGTCATAGTGATAGACTAAATCTTTACCTTCCTTTATTTTATATTTAAAAGATGAAAAACAATTCTACAAAATCTAACATACAACTCCTATATCCACGACTCACCTGCAAAGAAATTCAAAAAAGGAATAAAAGAGAATTATTCGGAATAAAAAACTGACAAACAAAGCAAATACGCTATACCTTCAACTTCACTCTGGCATAACTAAAACCATTAATACAGCACAACTGTATCAATCATAAATCATAACCCAATTGGCTCCCGAAAAGCGCTGCCACCGTGAAAAATCAGCGCACCCTCCTCGGAAGTGTGGGAACCAGAAGCTGGGGCAGCGGGCGAATACCACACGCACTGCGGCTCCCTTCGCCAAGCGCCTCCCCTCGCCTCGCCTCGCTACTTTCTCTGCACCCGAATCTGCATCCGCATCCGCATCCGCGTCTCTCCCTCAGTCCTCAGTCCTCCTCAGTATGTGTAGCCCTTCACGAACATCCCCTCCCTCGCTTCCTTGGCCTCGCCCTCTGCTGAGTACTTCCCCAGCTGCGCCAACGAGTTCGCCTTCGCCCTCACCAGCAATGCCTTCTTCGCCGCCTCCAGGTTCTCTGGTTGCCCCTTCCACGTCTTCAACACCGAGTTCTGCAGCGCCCTCGCGTACGAGAACGACACATGCCATGGGTTCGGGCTCTGGTTCATCGCATTCAGGTTCAGCGTCGCCTCCACCTCCGACTGCCCTCCGGACAAAAACTGCACCACAACCCCACGTGCTCAGAATCGCCTCCCTCGCCCATCCCCACTACTCATGCGTCGCACCCAACACTCCTGCATCCCCCCCCCCCATCAACCCTCCCACGTTCACCCTCCAATTCCTTGCACCACACTCTGCTTACCATGATTCCGGGCACCGCGGGTGGCACTCGCCTCCTCAACATCTTCAGCGTGTACTCTGCCACCTGCTCCGGGGTGGCTCTCTCGGGGCACTCTGCGCCCGGAGTCACCATGCTGGGCTTTAACAGAATTCCCTCCAGCAGGACGTTGTTCTCGCCCAAGTAGTAGAACACCTTCGACCACACCTTCTCGGCCACCTCCAACGTTCTGTCGATTCCGTGGCTTCCGTCCAACAGCACCTCGGGCTCCACGATAGGCACCAACCCGGTGTCCTGCATTCACACCCGATACTCACCACCATCACGCCTCACATCCTGGAAACTCACCCCATCTTTCACACCCACTGCACTCCACGCAACTACCGCACAATTGTCCAAAAACATACCAATCCACACTCAAGCATCCCACTGTCCTTCAATGCACAGCCTGCTCTCCATGCTCAAGCCCAAGCCCCACATCACAATGCTTCTCATTTCACACCACCCCCGACCACCAAATGCGACCCTCCTCCAGCTTTCGCATTCGTTGCCACCCCCCACGCACAATTACCCCCACCTTATAACTTCCAGTTCGTCGCTGGAAACAATCCCATCCCGCAACGCCAACCTCACTCCTAGCTACCCAACATTCTTGACGTTCTAGCACATCTCTGCCCAAAACCCCTTCCAACAAACACAACGCCTTCCCCCGCCACCAGTTCCCACGTACTTGACAAATAGCTGCGTAACGCGCCAGCCCCCATGCGGCCTCTGTCACCGCCAAATCCGACGGCCCGTTGGGAATGCTCACCACCGTCCTCCTGCACGACCAACCACGCCTACCGCTCAGAGACCAACCCCACACCACACTCCGAGTGCGCCAACACATCCATCCATTCAACAAAAACCCACGCCCACGCCCACGCCCCAAACCAATCCATCAGCATTCTCGCCTCTACGCATCCACCGCACGCCGCGATCGTCACACCACAACAACCATACTGGGAGACCGTTCACACCACCATTCTTTCACCCACCCACTCACTCACTCTCTCACTCACCACTTCGCAAACCTCGCTCCCTGCTTGTAGTACGCCGCTGTCCGAGACGCCAACCCGTCCAGCCCCTGGCACCACGACTCCTCGTTGGATCCCGCCAGAGGCACCAGACCCTTGTCCACCTTAATTCCGGGCACGATCCCTCCCTCCACCAGGCAGTCCACCATCTTCTTCCCGTCGCTCGTCGACTGGTACAGAGTCTCCTCGAACATGATCGCTCCAGAGATGTACTCCCCCAGCCCCGGCGTCGTGCACAGCAGCTGCCTGTACGCCTGCCGGTTCACCTCGTTGTTCTCCAGCCCGATCGACGCCAACCGCTTCCCGCACGTCGCATTCGACTCGTCGATCGCCAAGATCCCCCGCCCGGGAGACGCGATCGTCCTCTGCACCCACCACCCACAATCCAACGCATCAGCCCCTTCTTCCATCGAACTCATACCTACAGCCACTAATTCCACTCGCTCCCCTCTCCCCCCCTCTCTGGCCTCCTAACCATCCGAACCCGCATCGACCCTCAACCCCCCCACACCCACGACCACACCCGAAACGAGCAACATCACACATGTCGCGATGCACCCTGCTCCAAACCCTCCGCAAACTCCATCACCATCGCAAACCCCACCAAACCACCATGGAGACCTACCGCGGTCTTGATGAGCTCCTCGTCGTAACCAGCGGCCCGCACAGCGAACGCCACATTCTGGGGCCGACCCGAAACAGCAGCCTTCTGCTTCAACGAAGCCCCACAGAAACTCGACTGCAGCCCGGAGGCCTGCTGCATCGCGACGGCGGCTGCCATGATTTACAGACGCTGGTGATGCTGGAGAGCTGGATCGTTGCAGACTCTCGTGTTCGTGCGCAACTGCTTCGATCGAATCCGTCAACTGTGGAGGTTCAACCTCTTCTTTTACGCCCTACGATGCTCCGGAGGACGAAAAGTGGAATCTTGCAAGGCAACAACACGAGGAGGAGAGGGGACAAGCATGAAACCAACTCAAGGATGGCTGTACTCCGAAGCACCTCGCAGCCCCCTCGTTGTGGGCACCACCTTCCAGTGGCGCTTAGAAGGTTCCGCCCCCACCCGCACTTCGCAAGCCCCGTCCCTTGCGTGCGTTTTGATTCCCTGCTTCGCAACCCAGGCGCGACATGCACCTCGGCCGTGGCCCCATTCTTTCATTCATTCATTCATTTTGGCTCCCCTTTGCTGCTCTTGGTTGGACACTCCGGATTCCAGAGCATCCTTTCTCGGGAATCCGTGGGTTCTGGATAGTTACTGCGGAATTAAGTGCATTTTCTAGATCTATTACCGTATTAGTTGCTTGCATTGAAAGGCTGTCGGATTGCGGTTTTATGTAACTCCATGATTTTAGGTACCTTGTTGATGTGACTTTTCTTGTTCATTTCTGTTTGTGTGAAAGACCACATTCAAATTTCAAGTGATACACATTTATTGCTGTAGTTTTTCCTTGAAAATATGTGAATATATATAAATATAAGTATATATATAAATATAAGTATATATATAAATAAATGTTAAAATGACCCATCCATTTACTACATCAATTTATCCTATCGTATTCATCATCAAAAAATAGATCATCTCCAAAAACCATCATTACAATCATGGCCCTCATCCCAACCTCCCTTGTTCTCATCTTTGCTCCCTATGTTCTCAACTTTCTTCATTCCTCAATTCCTCTCCGCCTATTTCTAGCCTTTATTCAAACTTCCATCATTTCTCCTCCTTCCCTACAATAGAGCAGATCAATTTAATAAGTAGATGGGTTATTTTAATATTTTCTTATGTATATACATATATATATATATATATATATATATATATATATTTCACGAGTTCTAAAAACTTTTTTTCAATAAATAATAATAACAACAATTATATCATTTTTAAAAAAAATTATTTTCATCTAAATAAAATATTCTTTTAAAAAATTAATTAATATTAATATAATAAGATATTTTTTAAATTAATTAATACATATTTGTAATTCTTATCGTTGTTGTTGTTTTTATTTTATAATTTTAAAACTTGGTATGCATCTTAGTAATTTTGAATATTGCTTGTATGTTTTTTCTACATCTTTATTAACATATTCTTGTAATTTTAATTTTAATTTTTTTCCCAACATGTTGTAGATTGTTTTAAATAAAATTAAAATTTAAAATTATATTTAATTCATAGAGTTTGATTGTGATTCATGTATTTAATGATTTTCTAACATTTTAATATTTACTTTCAAATATTTATTCTTTAAGACATTTGTCATAGAGATAGAAGAAAAAAATTATGGATGTTACATTTGACAGAAGTGAAAATAGATTTATAACTATTCTAGATCTTCATGAGCTTATAAACATTCTTTAGATGGAAATCTCACATATTTCTAATATCAATTATAGAAGTTATATTCCTATATCTAAAAAAGAAATCAATATTAATGTTCAAAGTCTAATTCAAAAAGTTGTGCAATTTAGAAAAGCAAATAGATCAATCTCACAATTGATTTTGAAAAGTCTTATTACTACAATTATGAAAAAAGCAAGGATTAGCATACTAGAGAAATTTAATAGAACAAGATCAAAATTTTGAAGATTTTTACAACAAATTAAGTTCTATCTAAAATTGCATCCTTCTCAATATTTTAATAAATTTACTCAAGTTGGATTCATAGGCATATTTCTATTTGAAAGTGTTCTTTCTTGATTTTTATCTTTAATTAAAAAAAAAAAAAACTCACAACTCCTTTGTAATCTAAATTTATTCTTAGAAGTGTTTACAACTATATTTTTAAAAATTTATTGAAAAATAATAGTAAAAATAAAATTCCTAACTTTATAGCAAGGATCATGTTCAACTATTACACATATTGATAAATTCAAAAACCTTCTTTGCAACGTAGATTAAAATGACAAAACTCTTATTAATCAAGTTTGATATGAATCAAAAGATAATATTGAAGACTTATTATTGATAATGCCAAGAATAAACATATTAGAGCAATTTATAGCTTAAGCTATTCCATGCAATAATTACATTTTTGAAAGACATGAAGAACAAAGATTTGAATATAGAAGAACAAGTCAAGTCATGATATCAATTCTTAAGTTTTTAGAAACTTATTCATCAAGGTCAAAATCTATGCAAATTGATATGATATATTTTAAATATCTCACTCAACAAGAAAAGAATTGATATTGTGAAAATGGTTTGTATTTATATTTTGAAGAATCTAAGCATACTAATAATTTTTTTTCAAAGAAGCAATGATGTTACAAGATGAAAAGTATGATTGCAAAAGAAGACAATGTATTAAAAAACAAGTTTTTCTAACTACAATAAAAATCATGCAATTAAAATCTTGTTCAATATCTAATAAAAGTTTGATTTTTTCTTTATATTCTTCACCTTGTTAAAAAATTGATTTTTATTTAGGACTAACAAACTACAAAGTCTTTTTCTTTTTGAATTGAAATTTTTAAATTTATTTTATATATAATTATTTTATTAAAAAAATTATAAAAAAATTATAAAAAAATAAAGCTTTGCATATATAAATTATAGATAGTCAAATAATTTGTTATCCATGAAAATATTTATTTAAAAAAAATAACTTATAAACATAAAAAATTATAATATTTAATATAATTACATATATTTTTAATCTAATTATTTTAGATTTATTATGATTAAAAAATTATAATATTTAAATAGAATATATTTTTTGTTATCTTAATTTATTTCATATCATAATCTAGAACTTTATTATTTAAATAAAAAGATATCAATTTAATACAACCAAATTCTTATTAGTAGGTGCAAGAATTTTTATGCATGTTATAAAAGAATGGTGACTTTTTGTTATTTATGCCTCACTTATTTCTAATGGTGAAAAGACTTTAAGTAGCATTCTAAGCCAACATCAAGACTATTAAGATGTTTTTGAAAACAAAATGTATATATTCTTCCAAAGCATTGTCTTTATGATTATTCAATTGATCTTCAAGGAAGAGTTCAATTGTCATTTGGACCAATCTATAGCTTATCACAGAGCAAGTTAGATGCAGTTAAAAAATATATTGATAAAAATTTGGTTAAAAACTTCATATGTTATTTAAAATCTTTAGGAAGAATTCTTATTTTAATTGTAAAGAAAAACAATAAATCACTATGGATGTATGTGAAATATTGAAAACTCAAAAAGATCACTATCAAGAATAAGTCTCCTCTATTTTTGGTATCAAGATTTTTTAATCAATTAAATCAAAGAAAGATCTATAATAAAATAGATCTATAAGAAATATATAACCTAGTATGTATCAAATAAGGAAATGAATAAAAGATTGTGTTTCAAATTAAGCATGGACTTTTTAGATATAATGTTATAAGATTAATAAACACATCAATTTCTTTTCAACATCTAATAAATGATGTTTTTTTAATAATTTCATGATGATTTTTTTATTTTTTATCTACAAAATATTTTGATATATTCTAAAAACACAAAAAATTATAAACTTTATGTTTATTGTCTATTATAAAAACTTAGAAATACATGATTATATGCCAAATTAAAAAGTGTATATTTTACACTATTGAAATTGACTTCTTAAGATACATCATTTCAAATGATGATCTTGTTATAGAATCTTAACAAATTCAAATTATCATATATTGGAAGATTTTAAGAACATTAAAGATCAATATTTTTTGAGATTTTTTAATTAATATTAGATCTTTATAATAATTTTTTTTAGTTATAGCTTCATTTATATATTTTACTTATGAAGAAAAATTTAAGTGGAATAAAGAAGCTCAAACATCATTTAAAGTTTAAAAGACAGCTTTTATTTCTATACCAATCTTGTATTGTATCAAATTTTGTAAGATATTTTTTATAGAAACAAATGTATCAAACTTTGCCTTGAGTTTGGTTTGTCATTAATGGGAGCAAATGAAAAACTTTATTCAATAGCTTTTTATTTAAGAAATTTTTAGCAAATAAGATCAACTATAAGATTTATAACAAAGAATTTCTTGTAATTAAAGATTTATTCTAAAAATAATAATATTATTTAAAAGATGCTTCTAATCTATTTATTTTTTATACAAAACACAAGAATTTCAAATATTTTATATTAACATGTGTTTTAAATTGACGCCAAGCTCAATAGAACATGTCTTTATTAAAATTTGAATTCAATATCACTTATCAACCAAAAAAACAATAAACTTTGTCAAACATATTTTTTAAATGTTCTTATCTTAAATAAAAAGAAGAAGATGCAGCTTTTGATCAATAGAGAATGATTTTCTTGAAGCAAGAGCAATTTCATCTTTAAAAAATAAAATCAACATTAGCTATTGATTCAATCTGTTTTAAGCAAGTTCAATCAAGTATGTCCTCTAATCCTCTTCTTTATGATATTAAGATCAATTCTTTTAAGTCTCATGATACTTCTAAGTTTAAGTTGAAAAATAATCTACTCTATTCAATATAATAAGACTTTGAAACTCTTATCTAGAGATTTTTGGTGACTTTAAACATATAAGGTAGTTAAAAACTTTGTTAAATTATATAACATTTGCTCAAATTCAAAAACTTCTTATCATCCATTTTTTAGACTTCTTCAAGTATTACTTATACCAAAACAATTATAGTCTTTTTTTTCTATGCATTTATAAAGAATTTATTAATTTCAAGTTTTTATGATTTTATATTTGTGATAATAGATTATTTCACCAAGATGGCATATTTTCTATTATGTACAAAATCTATCACAAATACAAAAATAGCTAAATTTTTCTTTGACAATATTTATAACTATTATGGAATGCTAAAGAATATCATATTAGATAGAATTATTTAATTTGTATTAAGATTTTGAAAAAATATTTTAAAGATATTAAAGATTAATATAAAATTATATTTAATTTTCTATACTAAAACTAATAAAAAATAAAATGGATAAATTAAGTTTTTAAGTAGTATTTAAAGTATACTATCAACTACCATTAAGACAATTAGACAATTCTTTTGCCATTGGCAAATTTTTTTCATAATTATATAATATTTTTTTATTCAAAAAATATATTTCT